AAATGTGCTTGACACAATGGATGGATGTATGGATTATGATAAGAATTGTACGAGCCCCCAATAAAATGATTTAAAAACAAAACAAAAGAACCATAAATTTACTTTCTCAATTGAGGATGCTATACATTTTAATTGAGGGCACTGGTTCTCTCACTATCCTACATAATTGTGTTCCAAAGGAAATTACTAGGGTCCATCTATAAAATACTGAAAAATGAAAGCACATAGCACTTCAGTCAGAATAAGAAATAATATTAACTTTCATAACATAACTAAAATTAGATTAATATTAAAAATCATGAACTGTGACTTGAAAGATCAATATTATAGAAACGTTATTTTTTATATTAGTCTTATTGAACTATAATTGACACATTATAAAATTCAATAGTTCAATCATATTTTTTTTTAAGTTGTGCAATCATCACCACAATTAACTTTGGAACATTTTCTTACTTCTTGTATCTATTGGTGTTGGCTCCTCATATTCCCCACCCTCCCCTCTTCCATGCTCCCAGGTGATCATTATTTCAGTTACTCTCTTCATAAACCCACACACCTGGCTTCCCTTATACAGACAAACATATGCACAAACATATGCACAAAATTGTTTAAAGGACCAAGCAGCAATAATTATATAAAGCAGAGAAAGACCTCAATCTAAAATAATTCAGAGGCTATTAAAAAATGAGACTAAATTAAGTGATTCCAAAAGGAGATTTGATGACAAAGTATTACATTCCAATCGAAGAATAGCTGCTAAGAACTACTCTACAGTGTTCTCTGATTTTAGAGCTGTTCACATTCATAACCTATAGACAGTTGGGGAATTCACCAGGAACTGAATCCACATAAGGACCCTGCAAATGAATTTTGGTCCTCTACTACCATCATCCATAGCATTCTGCACACCAGGTGTTTAAAATTTAGGCACTGCTACTATTCTTTCCTCTGGGTTTTGCTCTTATTGTTCATAATCCTCAGATCACACAAGCTGGTGTGCTTCTTCTATGTAGACTTAGCTGACTCCTCAATTAGATGGCTGCTTATTTTGAGACAAGCCTTTAAGACACCAAGCGCTATTTTTCCCAATAGCAGGGCATCATCTGATTTCTTCACCACACTTTGCTGTGACATTCTTATCTTCAGTGATCTCCACATAAGGATGAGTACCAGGCAAAGCCTGGGGGAGGGGCTCCAAGGGAAAGAAGGGGAGGGGAAACAGAGAATTCAAGAAAATGGCAATATTCAGTAGTTAGATGGTGAGTGAGGAAGCTTGCACCAGACGCACATGTAGTTCACCCTCCATGTGGAGGTCCTGGGGGACCAGCGAGGTGAGGCACATGGCTGGGTGGGTTGAGACATGGTTTGAGAAGGATCTGTCCTGGCAAAGGGGTGGAACATTCCAAGGCAGCTCAGGGTGCCCTTAATGGCAGAGAGGGGTCAGGAATGTTCAGCCTGGGCTGCTGCTATCCCACTTCGCCAAGAAAGCAAAAGGAAAATTTTTT